GGGGGGTTCTTTAATTTTCTTAATGAATTTTTTTCAGTACATTGAGAATTGGCTTGCAAATCTTTTGTTTGCCTTTTCTTAGATACTTAATATTACTATTGTTATAAACTTTTAAATGCCTTTTCCATTTTTAAAATCTGGTACATGGAAATATAATTGATTTTATTATTTTGGTGACCTTATAAGTAGCAAACTTGCTAAATTTAAAATCATTGCTGCCCAACCAGGCATGGCTCAGCCGTTGGGCGTTGACCTGGGATCCAGGCATTCGGGGTTCGATTCCTGGTCAGGGCACATGCCCGGGTTGCGGGCTCAAGGCAGCTGATCAATGACTCTCTCATCATTGATGTTTCTAGCTCTCCCTCTCCTTTCCTCTCTGAAATCAATAAAGATATATTTTAAAAAATAAAATAAAAATAAAATAAAATCATTGCTGATAATTTGTTTACAGACTAATTTGAAATTCTTACATTTATTACCCTGCTATCTGGGTTAATATCGGTGTGTCATCCTTGTTTTATTTCTGATTTTCAGGAAAAAGGAGGTTTAACATCTCACTTTTGAGAATGACGTTTATGAACATTTTGGTAGAGATTCTTTACAGATTTGGAAGTTTACCCTCTTCTCTTATTTTTCGTGATTTTTTGTCGTAAATGTGTATGTGATATTTTCACATCAATTTTCTGTGTCCATTGGTATGGTTGTATACTGGCCTCAGTTTTCCCACTCAGTGTGTATACTATAAGTATATACACACAGCTGTATTTTATTTGCTACATTTTGTTCAGGACTTCTGTATTTATATTGATAAGAAATGTTTGGCCTACAATTTTTCTTCTTCAAAATTTTCTTGTCATGCCCAGCCAGTATGCCTCAACAGTTGAGCCTCAACCTATGATCCAGGAGATCATGGTGTGATTTCTGGTCAGGGCTCGATCCCCAGCAGGGGGCGTGCAGGAGGCAGCCGATCAATGACTCTCATCATTGATGTTTTGATCTCTCTCTCCCTCTCCTTTCCTCTCTCTGAAATCAATAAAAACATATTAAAAATATTTTCTTGTCATATTTCTGATATCAAGATCATGCTGGCCTCATAAAAGTAGGTGAAAAATGTGCCCTAATGTGGGTGTATTTTAATTGTCTTCCCCAATTCTTGTTGCCACTTAGTCAAGTCTTTGAAATGCATGGCTTATTATTTGTTAATGTCTGAGGCTATCACAGAACACTTAGCAATGATGTGAGGTTGACTTGTGCTTTATTTTACTTTATTTTTGGTCCTATCTAAAGAATATTTGCCAGAGCAGGGTCTCAAATATTTACCCTTATCTATTTCTAAAACTATAGTTTTAACACTTACATTTAGATCATTGATTCATTCAGGTAAATTTTTACTTGTGGTGTGAAATAATAGTCACACTTCCTTTATTTCTTATGAATATCCAGTTATTTGAGCAGCACTTGATGAAAACATATTGGCTTTTTTTGTTTTGTTTTGTTTTTTGCATCTTAAAAATTTTTTTCATATATTATTTGTTTAAAAATATACAAGGGGCCCTGGCCGGGTGGCTCGGGTTAGTTGGAGGGTTTGATCCCCAGTCAGGGTGCATACGGGAGGCAACCAATTATTCACCCAACAGTTTTAGCATTAGTTGATAAAACTTGACTGAATTAATAATCCTAAAATGAATTGTTGCAAAGTGATGATTTTTTTTTTCTAATTTTAACATTCTGTGTTTGTAAGCTACAATTAATCTGTAATGGAATCTATCCTATACATTATTTATTTATTTTAAAATTATAGTTGGCATACAATGTTATATTAGTTTCAGGTGTATAGCATAGTGATTCAACATTTATTTTAAAATTTTTATTTTTCAATTATAGTTTACATTCAATATTATTTTGTATTTGTTTTAGGTATATAGCATAGTGGTTAGACAATCATATACTTTACACAGTATTCCCCCCGATAATTTCAGTACCCACCTGGCAACATTTAGGTAATTATTATAATATTATTGACTATATTCCCTATGCTGTACTTTACAACCCCATGACTATTCAACATTTATTTATCCCATGATGTGCTCACCACACTAAGTCTAGTAACCATCTGTCACCATGCAAAGCTGTCACACTATTAGTATTATTATATTGCTCTTGTTCTTTTTTATCCATCCCTCCACCTCTGGCAACTATCAATTTGCTCTTTGTTTTATGTTTTTAAATTAAGGCAAACAATCTACATGGCAATGATAAGACTAATAGTTGTTACTGTACTTATTGCTCTGATCACAGAAGAGATTATTTTTAATTAGATCAGACATCTATTTACAAAAGCCCTATGAATAGATAACTCCAGACAATTCAAGCTCCAACAGAGACTTCCATTTTAAACCATGATCTACCTATGAGATGAGTGAAGATTGAAGTCATAAAATAAAGGAGCTGGTGGGGACATACTGCAGTGTCCAAACATGGTGGTGAGCAGAATGGATTCACAAGGTCTGGCATCCTAGGGCCCATGTACTCAGTACTTCAGACGCTTTAGCAACCTCCCTGCCACTGGTCTTAAACTGCTCATTGTTTATTATTTGTTCTCTCTGGCTCACAATGCCACTGCCCTTCTTTGGACCTAAGATTCCTCATCTATAGATTATAAAATTGGACTAAATGACTTGCAACCTTTCTTCCAGCTCCACGATGTCTTCCTAACTCAGTTTACCTTCTTCCCAGGGCACGAGTGTAATAACATCTCTGACTTCTGTGCTCCATGATGGCAAAGAATTCCCCAACCCAGAGACGTTTGACCCTGGCCACTTTCTGGATGAGACAGGCAACTTCAAGAAGAGTGACTACTTCATGGCTTTCTCGGCAGGTAATACACATTTCTTTTCTTTGGTACTTCAGAGGACAGGGTATCCTTTGGGAATCAGTTGGAATGTACGTAGCACTCACCCTGGGGCTGGTAGCATCACTTTTTGTCCGTGACCGAAGCACCACTCCCCATGCTCGCGCACTTTCCCTCCTCGTGGTACACCCTCACTATCAGGCCAGATTACTGGAAGAGTTGACTCAGTTCTTTCAAATTCAGAAATGAAATTTGAAAATTGAAAATATAAGAGAAGTGTATGCATTCCAGCCAAAAGGAACAGTGTGATATAAAACCTGACGCTTCAGGGTGTATCTGGCGATCGATGATGAGGAGGCATGCTCCAAGCAGGAATGGGGGCCATGGGGAGAACAAAGAAAGATCCTGAAACCTCAGAGTAGGAACAGAAAGTGCAACCAGTGCATGTGTGTCTCTAGAAAAAGGGGTGGAAATTTGAAAGAGAAGTTATAAATGTGAGAACACTTGATGAGCTACTTGGCATAGTGCTGCTACTCAGTAAATATTTGTTAACAGAATACCTGTTAGCGTGGGCATGTAGATCAATATATAGATCTCGTAACATAGAAACCCACCCCTGAAACCTACATGTTCATATTAACCATTGTCACCCCAATACATTTAATAAAGTTTTTTGTTTTTTTTTTTAAAAAGAATACCTGTTAGGATAAGATGTTAGGTGGGTAGGATATATGTCCACCCTTTGTCCATCTGTTTGTCCAACCATTCTGCCTTCCATCTATCCATTCAACTTTTAATCAAATAATTACTGCACATTTTCTTTCTGGCATCCAGGAAATCATTGTTTGAGTATTATCTACTCTGTGTGTGTGTTATTTTCAGGAAAACGGATGTGTGTAGGAGAGGGCCTGGCCCGCATGGAACTGTTTCTATTCCTGACCACCATTTTACAGAAATTTACCCTGAAGCCTGTTCTCGACCCGAAGGACATCGACATCACCCCAATTATGAACTCATTTTCTTCTGTGCCACCTCCTTACCACCTCTGCTTCATTCCTGTGTGAGGAACGACAGACTTTCTGTGTGCAACTCCCTCTCCTCTGGGGCATCGTTCGCCTCTTTCCCTCTTCATCCCCTTCCTGGGGGTCTCTTCTGTGACTGCTCCTCTCCTCATCACCCCATTCTCTCAAGATCGGGAATATCCAAGCTCCATTAAAGGAGAACTTCTGCATCTCACTGCGAAATGGACCTGCTATTCTCTGTACTCTGAATCATTTGCATTGGCCACACATATGCTAATATAACGCTGAATGGCACAGTGTAGCCCACAGGAAAGAGAGCAAGCTGATTGCTGTGTGCAAGTGCAGAACCATTTCTCTTCTGCATGTTCTAAATAAAAACCATAATTTGCTGAGCCAGTTCTCAGACTTTTCTTCCTTTGTGCAGGTAAGAAATGAAAGAAAATAATACTAAGAGGCATGCTGGTCCTCTAAGGGTACGCACAGAGGAGGGCCAAGGGGACATGCACGGAAGAGCTCTCTGGGCTGCATGTCACTTAGGGTTACTTGCGGTTTAATTTAAAAGAGAGAAAAATTGTGTTCAGGAGCAGCTTCATCATGCAGGGAAATACAGAGATCAGTAATAGTGAGGAACTAAATACAAAGGAGCCACAGAAACCTAAAAATAAAAGTCAGAGCAGAAATTTAAAAAATTGTAAATAGGAAATCAATAGAGAAAATCCATGAAAACAAAGCTGTTTTTTTGAAAAGTTCAGTAGAATTGATAAACCCATAGCCAGTATCCCTGAAAAGAGAGAAGACACAGATTACTATTGTCCAAGTTAAAAGAGGGGCCACTGCTCTGATGCCATAGACATTAAAAGGATATTAAAGGAATATTATGAACAGTTCTATGCCCACAAATTTGATAGTGTAGATGAAATGGGTCGTTTCCTTAAGCACACAGGCTGTCAAATCTGACAAGAGGGAGTAACAGCAACATGTCATAATAGGAAACCCTGAACTTTCATTCTCCTAGTGGACACGCTGGTTCACAGCAACACATGGATCAATTCTCTTTGTAAAAAATTCAAGAACTCATTGAAAGACCCCTATACCCTGAGTGGATGTGAATCCAGCCACATCAAAGTCAGAAAGAAAAGTGGAGCCATACTCTTGCCATACTGCCAACCCCGGCAAAGTGCCATATGATTGAGCAGGAACCCAGTAGCTCCCAGCTTCTCCCTGGGGAGCAAAGGAGTTGGACTGCACCCCTAGCAGCCCAAACTTACATAGCTTGTGGGGAGAGTTGCATGAGGAGCTGGCTTATCTCTTGCTTGTACTGGAGCACTGACAAAACTCAGCATAGTCTAGATACCTTGGGGCAGCTAGAACAGAAAAAGCATTAGCAGGACTTATGGCATTGGCCCTTCAAGAATGAATCCCTCTCATTTCTCTATACCACATCTGCACCCTCAGGTCAGATTCCTTCTTCTCTAGACTCTGAGATACAGCTGTGCAGGAAGAGACCAGGTTCCGCTCTGCAAAGAGCTCATCTTCCAGGCCAAGGACCCTCAGTGGATGACTTGTTAAAGATTTTTGAATTTGTGGGAATCCAGCAGGTCCACAAGAACAAAAATTACTCTTCAGGAAACGGAGATAATTCAGTCCTTTTTTTTTTTTTTTTTTTTTTTTAAATTAGAGGCAGGGCTCTTTATTTTTATTTTTTTATTTTTAAATATATCCTTATTGATTTCAGAGAGAGGAAAGGAGGGGGAGAGAGAGAGAGAGAGAGAGAAACATCAATGATGAGAGAGTCGTCACTGACCAGCTGCCTCCTGCACACCCCCAACTGAAGAACGAGCCTGCAACCGGGGCATATTCTCTGACCAGGAATTGAACCTCAATCCCCTGGATCCTAGGTCAATGCTCAACCACTGAGCCACGCACGGCTGGGCAACAATTCAGTCTTAACAACATTCATCATGTCCAGTGTACAATCAGAAATTCCTAGACTTGCAAAGAAACAAAAAGCAATTTCCAAGTGGAGATAATTCAGTTGATAGAAACTGAGACAGTTCAGTTACTGGATTTAAAATACAAAGACATGTCAGCAGTTATTATGAATAATTTTAAAGACTTGATAAAAAATCTGGACTTAATGACTGAAGAGATGAGGGACTCTCTTAAAAATGATCTAAAGGAAATTTTAGGAGTAAGAAGTACAATACTTGAAATAACAAATCCAAAGAACTCCAGTACCAGAAAAGGGTGGCAACAAATAAAAGATGCCACGTCAATAAAAACAGGATTGGTAGAGAAAATAGAAAAAGACAATCATGTTGAGTATATTGAAAATTAGCAAAATAGTTAAACTTGGTAGCAAATTTGACAAAGCTGAAGAGTGCAGTACTAACCAAGGCAAGGAACTGTCCCCGAATGAATCACAAAATCACAAAGTCGTAGAAAATGTGGAAGAAACCATAGGTAATACAGATGATGCAGGTAGAAATTGCAACATCCATATAGAAGTTACAGGAGAGGGCCAAAAGCATGGAGAAGATGTACTAGTCAAAGAAATAAGAGAGGAAAACATCCCTTAGTACTTCGAAAATAAAGAGAAAATTCTAAAAGCCTTCAAAGAAGTTGGAGTAATATTTACATTGACAGCAGACTTTTCATCAGCAAAACTGGACATTAGTAAGCAATGGAGTAATGTCTTCAACATTCTGAAGGAAAATTGATTTTGAACCAAAAATTTTATGCTAAGTTAACATTTAAACGTGATGGTGAAATCAGGACTTTTTCAAACATGCAAAGTCTCAGCAAATTTATCAGCCAAAAATCTTTTATGAAAAAATTACTAAAAGATGTACTCCCAGAAAATGAAAAAATAAAGAAAGGAAGAAGATATGGGATTCAAGAAAAAATGGATAAAACTCTAATAGCCTCAAAGCATGGAGCCGGGGGAGCAACCAGTGATGGCTTGAGCTTTCCATTTATTAAAGAGGTAAAGGTTCCTGAGCCAGGTAAGGTAAAAAACTTAGAGACTCAAGAGGAAGAGGCTTCAGAGTGGAAGGAAAAAGAAGCCCTTGAGGAAGAAGAGGTCTCAGAGCTAGAGGAGGAAGACGAAGAGGCTTTAGAGTTGGAGGAGGGAGAAGAGACCTCAGGGCTGGAGCAAGAGACTTCTGAGTCAGAGGAAGGAGAAGAGACCTCAGAGCTAGAGGAGGAAAGAGAAGAGGTTTCAGATTTGGAGGAAGAAGACACCTAAGGGCTGGAGGGAAAAGAGGCCTCAATATTATGTAAGGAACAGCACTGATACTTACAGCATTCTACTATGGCAAATACAAAGCATGGAGTTGAAATAGCCAGTGATGAGTTGAATATTTTGACTAAAGAGGTAGAAGATTCTGAGAAAGAGGAGGAAGACTCAGACTGGGAATTGAAAGTGTTCTTCACCTGGGAGGAAGAAGGGGACTCTGAACCAGAAAACATAAAGACTACCTCCCAGATTGAGGGAAAAAACAGGCCTCATGTGAACTTAAAGAACTTGCCTGTCATTCTTTGTCTTAAAATTCTGAAAACAAAAAATTTGTGAAACACAAGTTAATGTCTAAAGAAAGACTTACTACAAGAATCAGAAGAGAACTTTGGTAGAGGTGTAATTAATTTATTCAGAGACATACAGCGGAGACTGGAAATGTTACAAGATACCTTCCTGGAAAGAGAAATTACCAGTTTTGTATAGAGATTTGGTAATGGTAACGATGACACCTGGGTTTAGGGTTATTTTGAGGGTTAGTGTTAGGGAGATGGTTACGGTTAGGATTAAACCTAGGGTTAGCGTTAGTCCTACTGTTAGTCTTAGGGTTATAGTTAGAATTACGATTAGACCTAGGGTTAGGGTTAGGCTTAGCATTAGTCTTAGAGTTTCAATTATGGGTAGGATTAGACCTATGCTTACGATGAGGTTGATGGTTAGAGTTAGGGACATGATTAGGGTTAGGATTAAATATACTGTTAGGGTTACGTTGAGGGTAAGGGTTAGAGAGATGGTTAGGGTTAGGATTAGACCTAGGGTTAGGGTTATGTTGAGGGCTAGGGTTACAGAGATGGTAAGGGTTAGGATTAGACATAGGGATGGAGTAATGTTGACGGCTAGGGTTGGAGAGCTGGTTCAGGTTAGGATTAGACATAGGTTTAGCGTTATGTTGAGGGCTAGGGTTAGAGGGCTGGTTCGGGTTAGGATTAGACCTAGGGTTAGGGTTATGTTGAGGGCTAGGGTTGGGGAGCTGGTATAGGCATAGGATTAGACCTAGGGTGAGGGCTACATTGAGGGCTAGGGTTAGAAAGCCGGTTCAGGTTAGGATTAGACATAGGTTTAGGGTTATTTGAGGGCTAGGGTTAGAGGGCTGGGTCGGGTTTGGATTAGACCTAGGGTTAGGATTATGTTGAGGGCTAGGGTTAGAGAGCGGACTCGGGTTAGGATTAGACTTAGAGTTTGTGTTATGCTGAGGAAAAGGGTTAGAGAGCCAATTCAGGTTAGGATTAGACCTAGGGTTAGGGTTATATTGAGGGATAGGGTTAGAGAGATGGTTAGCGATATGATTAGACCTAGGACTAGCGTTATGTTGAAGGCTACGGTTACAGAGATGGTTAGCGTCAGGATAAGACCTAGGGTTAGGGTTATGTTGAGGGCTAGGGTGAGACAGCTGGTTCGGGTTATGATTAGACCTCGGGTTTGGGTTATACTGAGGACTAGGGTTAGAGAGCCAGTTCTGGCTAGGAATAGACGTACCGTTATGGTTATATTGAGGGTCAGGGTTAGAGATCTGGTTCAGTATAGGACTAGACCTAGGGTTAGGGTTATGTTGAGGGTTAGGGTTAGAATGCTTCTTCGAGGTAGGATTAGACATAGGGTTAGGGTTATGTTGAGAGCTAGGGTTAGACAGATGCCCTGAGTTAGGATTAGACCTAGGGTTAGCGTTATGTTGAAGGTTAGGGTTAGAGAGAGGATTAAGGTTAGGATTAGACCTACGTCTAGTGTTATGTTGAAGGCTATGGTT